CTCAGTCGTATCCGACTCTGTGACCCCCATGGACTAGCCCACTAGGCTTCTCTGTCCATGGAATTCTCCAGGCAAGAATACTGGAGTAGGTTGCCATTTCCTTCTCCAAAGGATCTTCCCAATTTAGGGATTGAACCCAGGTCACCTACATTGCAGACAGATTCTTTACCATCTGAGCCACCAGGGAAGTCCATACATACTATAAAAGATACATTAAAAATAGAAACGTCAAAAGGATGAGACATTCATGAGATGAATATTTTTAAGTAATTTTAATTTTTAAAATGTAGTGGTATAAAACACGTTTGCTATCGTGTTTTAGAAGTTTTCCTTTACTTCTTGAATACTCTGTTTTGTAAGAGCACTTTATTCTGAATGAATAGCACTTTTAAAGTGTGACAGTGTAATGTCTTAGTTACAGTCACTGACCAGAGTTTGTTTACCCATACATATGACTTGAATTTTTATAAATGATAGATTCTTAGTCTCCCCTCAGGCTTCAGACAGATTTATTTCATCTAGGATCTTGATTTGTTTTGCTTAGGCTTTTTTTTTCTTTCTATGGTTTCTCAAGTTTTTGCTACTGCAAGGGGAAAGCTACTTCCAAGGTGCAGCTTCATAATCTGTTAATATAAATGGGATCATTGAACAGTGTTTAGATTTCATGCCCAAAGATTTTGCTAAATAGTATGTTATTTTTTTGTGAATTAGGGTATCGAAGTCCCAAACCAACTGAAATCTTCAAGTTGAAGCAAGGAGACAAACCATGGATAGAAAGGGAAAGTATCCATGATCCAGGTAAGTGAATGAGAAGCATCCAGGGAGAAAAGAAGTAAAGTCCTAGATCTGTGAAGGCCTCACACCTCTGAAGTCATGTTATGGTGACTCATCTTCTAGTTACTTTCACAGTATCTCAGCAGAGCCTCTGCGGATTCCTCTCCTATGTTCATATTCATTACTTAATCATTTAGAGGAAAATACTCATGTTTTCACCTCTGGATTTTATACTGATATATTTCATCTAGAGTCTTGATTTGCTTTGCTTAGATTTTTTTCTTTCTATGGATTCTCAAGTTTTTCACTTCTTCATTGACTGCCGTGGTATCACTGCTTGTTCCTTCCTCTTACCTTGCTTTGAAAATTCAGGCTTCCATGCCTCTCTGCAAAGAGAGAACTTCAGATTCACCATCAACTCCTGACTAGTGAACCTCAGGTAATACTGATTTCCCTTCCTAACATTCAGCCCCACCCTGAATGCTGTGTTCTCATGGCAACTTGGTCTTTTAGTGTACATCTGTCTGTTTATTCATTCTGGATGGGCAAATATGAGATAAAGCAAATGTAGCAACATGTTAACTGTAGAATCAAAGAGGTGGGTAAATAGCTGTTCACTGTGTAGTTCATTCAATTTGTATGTTTGAAAAAATTTTTTAATAAAATTATGAGAAATGCTATAAGTATTGTAATTTTCAGAATGAATTATGCCTCCCATATAGATTGAAATAAAGGAATTCAGTCAAGTAAAAAAAAAGAATTACAATCTTAGGCCTCACCTGAAGTCAAACCATAACCCTCATGCATACTTTGCTGATTTCTTCATATATTTGCTGAATCAGAGATATATATCTATATCTATATCTATCTATCTATATATATATATATTTTTTTTTTCCCTCTCTTTTTTGGCCGTGCTGTATGGCACACAGGATCTTAGTTCCCAAATCAGGGATCAAACCTGTGTTGCCTACAGTGGAAGCTCAGAGTCTTAACCACTGGACCACCAGGGAAGTCCTCACAAAACCTTCAATTGTAAAAAAAAAGAAAAAAACTACACTATCTGCAAAGTACAATAAAACAACAATAAAATTAGCTGTGTTTGTATAGAAATATTACCCAGAGGGAATTCATTGGCAGTCCTGTGGTTAGGACTCCATGCTTCCCCTGCAGTGGGCATGGACCAGACTAGATCCCTGGTCAGGGAACTAAGATGCTCTGCAAGTGTGTGGTGCAGCCAAAAAAAACCAAATTGAATTGAAGGTTTGTGGCAGCTCTATGTCGAGCAAACCTGTTGGCACCATTTTTTCCAACAACATTTGCTCCCTTTATGTCTTTCTCAAATTTTGGTAATTCTCTCAGTATTTCAAACTTTTTATTATTATGTTTGTTATGGTGATTTGTAATCCATGATCTTTCATGTTACTTCTACAACTCACAGAAAGCTCAGATGATGGCTAGCAATTTTTAATGAGAAAGTATTTTTAAATTAAAATACTCTCTAAAACAGAGTACATAGTTTAATTTAAAAATACTTTCTCATTAAAAATTGCTAGCTATCATCTGAGCCCAGATGATGGCTAGCAATTTTTAATGTGGGAGAAGGCGAGGGTGGGATGTTTCGAGAGAACAGCATTGAAACATGTATATTATCTAGGGTGAAACAGATCACCAGCCCAGGTTGGATGCGTGAGACAAGTGCTCGGACCTGGTGCACTGGGAAGACCCAGAGGGATCGGGTGGAGAGGGAGGTGGGAGGGGGGATTGGGATGGGGAACACATGTAAATCCATGGCTGATTCATGTCAATGTATGACAAAACCCACTACAATATTGTAAAATGATTAGCCTCCAACTAATAAAAAAATAAATTAAAAAAAAATAAAATATGTACTCCATTTTAAACATAATGCTATTGCACACTTAACAGACTACAGTATTGTGTAAACATAACTTTTATATGCACTGGGAAACAAATCTTGTCAGTAGCTTTATTGCAATACTTGCTTTATTATGGTGGTCTGGAATTGAACCTGGAATATCTCTGAGTTATGCCTGTACGGATAACCCCGTATTTGTCCTCTAACCAAAATCTTCTCCAAATTCCTCTTTCCAGTTGAGTTCTTTATGTCTGTACTAAGATACCCACCTTAGGATGTTCGTGTCAAAATACACACTGATTTTCCCACATTAAAAATCTCTTTCCCTGGTATTCCTCACCAACTTAAGCTAGAACTTCTAGTCATTTAGGCCAAATACCTGAGGAAAATCTTTAATTCCTCCTTTTTACTTACATTGAATTCAACAGTGAATGTTGTTTTTTCCTTCTAGGTGTGCCTTGAGTTCCTTGACTTGTCCACATGTATACTGTTGTTGCTCCAGACCAAGTCACTATTGTCTCTTGCCTGATTACTTCATTAACTTTCTCTCCCACACTTCTTCCTCTCCTATCACTATCCATGCAGCAGTCAGCAATCTTTTGGAAATAGAAATCAGAACCCACCTCCTCCTCAGAGCTTCTAGTGGCTCATCACTAGTCTTAGCTTTAAATTCAGATTCTTCTACCAGATCTACATAGTATGACTTCTGTCTACCTTTTGAACTTTAAGTTTTCCTTCTCCCTATGTAACTGTTCCATTCAGGGCCCACTGGCTACCTTTCTATTTCTTGACCTGGCCAAACCTTTCCTTTGTCAAGGCTTTTGCACTGCTGTCATACTTGAATGAAACATGAAGTTACTTACATGAAGCTGCTTAATTTTTATTCCTAGTTTCTTGGCTCACCTTTTATTTCCTCACAGGGCATTGTTATTTTTCATGTGCTGGGAACCACTTTTCAGTGTGAATTTGTCTTATTTCTTTGCTTCCATTTTGTTCTCTTTTGCCCAGGGGAATGCAGAAAATGTGTTTCTCTTTGGTGTGTATTCAGATGCTGTGACAGCACGTGATACATATTAGACATTCAATAAATATTGGGGGAGAGAATGGATACGTCCTCCATAATGTTAGATCAGATGTCTCTCCAACTTATTTTATTTTGTGTTAATGACACATATTTTTACTTTGTCCTCTTTTGCCAGTTTCGCAGGGATCTCTTTGGAGAGCACCAAATATTTTACTAATTGAGAATTGTCTGCCACTGATTCTATATCTTTTTTTTTTTTAGATGTTATGACCTTATTGTGTTTACCCCCATTTTCACGAAGTAAATTTATACTTAATGATTTTTTTCATATGACATAATTGTCACAGAGAGCCCAAACCATTTCATTTTAGAAGCAGTTTTATTGCATATCCTGATTGTGAAAATTCATTTTCTTTCTAGAAGTTGGTGATCCTATGCAGCAATCCTTGGAAATCCAATACAAGCATAAAAATATGGAAAGAGGCCATGAACTCATTTCTTTGGGAAATATTTTTTGTCTGCATGGAAATCTTGTTACTTTAAGGCAAATCCATGATAAGTTTGACATACTGAACTCTAATTTAGATTTAGTTAACCAGAAGCTCCATAGCAAAGAATCCTGACAAGTTTAATAAATACGAGAAATCATTTCTTCATAGTAAACATGAAAAACATTACACTGGAATTAAATGCAATAAACGTGGAAACACTCTCTGCACCAATTCAAAACTCAGTATACATCAGATTGAAAAAGGAAAGAAACATGAGTGTATGGAATGTGGTAAAACCTTCATCAAAAAGTCTCAGCTCACTGTACACCAGAGAACACATACAGGAGAGAAGCCGTATAAATGCCTTAAATGTGGTAAAGCCTTCTGCAGGAAGGCAGAGCTTAATATACATATGCAAGTTGAACGAGGAATAAAACCCCACGCATGCAGTGAGTGTGGGAAAACCTTCTCTAGGAAGTCTCAGCTCCTTGTACATCAGAAAACTCACACGGGAGAGAAACCATATATGTGCAGTGAATGTGGGAAAGGCTTCATTCAGAAGGGTAACTTCCTTATACATCAATGAATTCATACTGGAGAGAAGCCCTATAGGTGCAAAGAGTGTGGTAAAGCCTTCAGTCACAAGCCATGTCTCATTGCACATCAAATATTTCACACTAGAAATCCTCCCTATGTATGCAGTGAGTGTGGAAAAGCCTACTTTCAGAAGTCAAGTCTCATTAGACATCAAAAAGGTCACACAGAAAAGTGCCACAAATGCAATGTGTGTGGGAAAAGCTACTCCACGAAGTTCATACTTAGCAGACACCAGAGAGTCCATACAGGAGAGAAGCCCCATGGGTGCAGCAGCTGTGGGAAAGCCTTCTGCCACAAGTCCTCCCTCACTAAACATAAGAGAACTCATACAAAAGAGAAACGTGTCAATTCAGTCAAGGTAGAAAAGGATTCCTTGGAGAGCCATGACTCATGTGCCACAGAACCCAAACAGGAGAAAACCTACATTGAGACAGTGACAATGCAGGGGCCTGCTGTGGCAGTGCAGGCATCATTAAACATCCATGGGTTCCTTGCCCAGGGGAATGTGGTTCTTGTGGGAGAGCCTGTGGCCAGATATGTCCCCTCAGGAGATGGCAGAGAGTTTTCACAGGAGAGGAACCTCATGAATGTAGTTAGTGTGGTACTGCCTTCAGTTACCAATTATGTCTTCTTTTATGTCACAGGAAACATGTAAGGAGGAGTGCATTCAATGTGGACCAGCCTTTGGAGCAGACTTTAGCTTTTTTTGTAGTTGAAAACTCTCACTGAGAGAATGCTAATGAATGCCAATAATGGAAAGGTCAATCAGTCAGTCATTGTTAGTCGCTCAGTTGTGGCAGACTCTTTGTGACCCCATGGACTGTAGCTCGCCAGGCTCCTCTGTCCGTGGAATTCTCCAGGCACGAAAACTGGAGTGGGTTGCCAATCCCTTCTCCAGAGGATTTTCCCAACCCAGGGATCAAACCTGGGTCTCGCATTGCAGGCAGATTCTTTACCATCTGAGCCGCTAGGGGAGCCCAGTACAAAGATATACCTCATTAAATATCAGCAGCTCTTAGTAGGTTGAATAGTAGCGAGCTTGACTTCAAAAGCATCATAAATTCACATCAGAAAGAAATTTTGGGAAGGCAAATATGTCCAGTCCATAAGACCACCCTCATGTTTGATTATTCTCTGAAAGCACTGACTCAGAAACTAAAAAACCCCACAAAAACCTCAAAAACTCAAAAGAAAAAAGAAAAACTCAAAAGCTGCTATACTTATGGTTACAGGTTATGACGGTGAAAACTTACAAATTAGCAAATCTAAAAGGTGCTTAAGGCAGACTTTAGGAGAAATCAGGTACATCCAGTTGTCCTCCCCAGTGGAGTTGTATGGACTGTGTGTCAGTTATGTGACAACTCATGTGCGTATTGCCAGCCAGAGAAACTCACCTGAGCCTTAGTGCCTGGGGACTTGGGATGGGGTGTCAGTAAAGGGGCTTCTTATGCTAGCATGGGGAAACCACATGACTGACTACTTTTTCAAGCTCTAGCCTCCTTAAAGTCAAACCAATACAGCATGGCCCAGACCCCCAGGCAAACAAAAGCAAGTGTTCACCAAAAATCATATTGCTGGAATAAACTGTATGGCATAGTTCAAACCCCAGGTATGTAAAGATGCTTTCGGCAGGCAGGCTGTTCCAAGGGCTTGGAGGTTCCCTCTCAGGTGCAGATCAAAAGCCAGTCCTTTCTTTGGAATGTGCAGGGTCTGAACACCCTCAACCTGCCAAGTCAGCTTCTAATTTGCATACCAGTGAAGACGGTAAGGTTTTTAATAACACTGTTCCTCATCATGTGTCAGAAATAAATGTCTATGGATACACGAAATGTGTAGAACCTTTAGCAGAATGGCAGCCAATCTCATAAAGGACATAAGCTTGTGATTGCAGTGGAAATTTGGAAACTTGTTGATGTAAAACTACCTTATTTTCCATCAGATTAACACCCTTAATATGTGTGTGTGTGTTTTCATTTTTTGGCTGCACCCCACAGCTTGTGGAACTTTCCTGACCAGGGATCCAACCCATGCCTCCTGCAGTGGAAGCATGGAGTCTTTTTTTTTTTTTTAAATTTAATTTATTTTTTTATTTTATTTTTTTTATTATTATTATTTTTTTTTTACATGTATTCCCCATCCCGGTCCCCCCTCCCACCTCCCTCTCCACCCAATCCCTCTGGGTGAGATTTTGTCTATTATTACATAAAAGCTGTATGTTGCTTGATGAGGATAAGAAGTATGTAAAACATTAAATTATCCCCTTTCAGAACATGTTTTTAGTTTCCCTGTAGGCCAGTGATCTCTTGGATGTGATCCTTCTCTTGTTTCTACCTGGTAATCATAGAAGTAATAACATTGATTCTGATTGTATTCACGCTTCTTCACCATAATTTTTCACATTTAAATATTTATTGTCATTTTACAAATAGGCAGAAATTGCTAATTCTGTTCTTACTTCACATAGAAGGCATTTAGGATAATTTAAAATTTTGTTTTGTTTGGAACTTTTTGATTGCTGTCTTTCTCATTATTCCTAATTCTGTCTTGAAAAATTTGTCACACTTTCCATTGTGATTCCCTATATGATTTTCTCTTTTAAGGAAAATGTAAATAATTGAAAAGAATGTATTATTTTCAATATGTGCATCTTTTATCTACTTTGATATGTTGCTGAAGTCTGTATTAGTTTTAATATTTAGACCATGTGTACAGTATTTTCCTACATTGTCACAAAATTACAGTGGTATTTTAATATTGTCTATCTCAGTGGTGTTCCTGTCAAACATCCTTGTATTTTTGAACAGTGTTTGTTTTATGTGATTTGGTTCCCTACGACTTGCTGCATAAAGCAACCACATTGTAACTTCTAACTCATGTTATTCTATGAATTTCTACTTTATCCAATTGAATGGATCTCATCTTAAATTCTTTTACTGGTTCCTGTTACTATTAATCCTCCTGATTTCCAATTATCTACATTTGCCTGGGCCTAATATACTTTGTCTATTACAGGTTATTTTCTCTGGACAGTTTTAAGGATGTGAGTGTCTCTGAGAACCAGTCAGTTACTGGATTTTATTTTCTTTTTATTTATTCCAGTCAGCAGTGTCTTTTAATGGACAGTTTTACTGTTTGCATTTGCTGCCCCAACCCTGTACTGTGTGTGTCTCACTTCTGTTTTACTCCTTTTTAAAATTCTGTTTCCTTGTAGTTTATTTTCCATTATAGCTCCTATTACCTAGATCATACATTTTTAGCTTTTAATTTATGCAGCAGTTTAGAAGGCACACCTTGTTTTTATATATCTACTAGAAGTTCCCTTAAAGTTTTCCAGAAATATTCTTGAATTTATGTTGTTCTAATTAGCAAAGTGGTTGACAAAAATATAGGTCTGTTTTATGTGTATTCTTTCTACTTTCTGTTCTAGCTACCTCAGCTTTAAAATTTTTTTTACTTTATTTTTGGTTGCACTGGGTCTTTGTTGCTGCATGTGCACTTTCTCTAGTTGGGGTAATCAGGCACTGCTCTTCATTGTGGGGTGTGGGCTTCTCATTACAGTGCCTACTCTTGTTGCAGGGCACAGGCTCTAGGTGTATAGGCTTCAGTAGTTGTGGTATGTGAGCTTTGTTGCCCCGGGGCATGTGGAATCTTCCTGGACCAGGGATTAAAGCCATGTCCCCTGCACTGGCAGGTGATTCTCAACCACTGGACCACCAGGAAAGCCTTATAGTTCTTAATTTAAGGGTTAATCATAGTTACCTATTCAAAATCTTGCACAAAAGCAAATGTGGAGGTCTTTATTGACCACTTGATGGTCTTAAATTGAGTACTATTGGCTTACATGACAGTAACAGGATTAGTAGAGTCTCCATTTTAAACTCTCTGATCCTGGTAGTTTTATTTGCAAGAGATGCTTTTAGAGCCTTCTCTCTTCTGTGGATATTACTCTGCTTCTGCTTACTATTACCAGTGAGAATCAATATTAGTAAAGTTTATTTTCCTAACAGTTTACATATTCATTGATATTGAGTTGTACAAATGTGTGCCATGATAGCTAATGTAGATCATTGGCATCATGTTCTTGTTACCTGTATCTATTTTTAGGTTCTTCTCAAATACTTAGACAAATTCCAGTTCATTGCCCATAAGGGACCTGATGGTGCAGCTCACTGTGTAAAATTAGGAAAGAACTCTTTTGGGTACAGTTTCTCAGTGAGGTGGAACCTCCTCACCATGATACATACTTGCAGACAGTCGGTTGCATGTTAGTTCTAAGTTCTTCCTGCTCCCTGAATGTGAGCCCTGTCTACCTCCAGGGATCATGAAAAGTGAGCCTTTGCCATGAACACTCTAACAGTCTGTAAAGACATATTAACTACAAAGTGATAATTGTCCTTGATAATTAGCAACTGGCAAAATATTTTCACAAATAATCCCAGTTCCCAAGCCTGTTCCTGCTAGAGCTGTTATAGGTGACATGATAATTGCAGTTCTGAGGGAAGGTGAGGTCACAGGATCACAAACTCATATCTCAGGGTCAAGCTACCCCTCTTGCACACAGGCTAATTGCTTTGACCTTCATACTGAATCCACTATCCAGGCATCAGGAAAAAGTCAGTGAGTTTTCTCTATATTCATCAAGGAGGTAGAATCTCTAAAGGAAGGCTCTGTATCAGGAATCTGGTAAGGGAACTTATTGGGCAAAGAGAATCTCCTGTGTATAAAACTGGTCCAGCAGCAAAGCCCTGCAGGAGGGTGGGATAAATCCTGAGTCTGAACTGAGATAGAAAAGGGAGATGGTGTCCTAGACCTTTCACCAGTCTGTAATAGCTCCTAATGTAGTGTATGTACTTTTCTCACTGACAGAAATTGTTGTTGTTTAATACTATTGTGATATTTTACAAAACTAAGGACTGTATTTCCCCAATTAATATGATATTCAGTCTACTTTCCAGGAATCCCATGCATACATTTCAGGTTTCACAGGTGAGCACATACCTAGTTCATCCTTGTAACAAAGACTATGAAGAGTCGATAGGAATCACCTGACCCTGTGCAGTAACAGTGTGTCTGGCAGCCACTGCTGGAGTAGAAATGTCTCCTCTAACTCTGGATGTTGTATGAGTTGCTGAGAATATTAAATTATTGTGTCTCTGTTGATTGTAGAGAGACTCTTTTCACTTAAACTAAGGAATCAGCATGGAAGAAAAATAGAACTTTATGCAATTCAGATACCATACTGCTTCTTTTCAATATTATGATACCCATTCAAAAAATGTATGTTCTTTATACCATACACAAGTTGCTCACCTTAGCATTGATTTTGCATATATCTTGTATTTTCATATCTTTCACAAATCTTGCCTTATTGATAATACTTGTATTTGTTGTTGTTTCATCGCTAGATCATGTCCAAGTCTTTTCCAACTCCATTGAGTGTAGCCCGCAAGGTTCCTTCTTTCCATGGGATTTCCCAGACAAGAATACCGGAGTGGCTTGGCATTTCCTTTTCCAGGGGATCTTCTCCACTCAGGGATCGAAATCATGTCTCCTGTTTTGGGAGGCATGTTCTTTACCAGCTGATAATGCAGCTGGTAAAGAATCTGCCTGCAATGCAGGAGACCCTGATTTGATTTATGGGTTGGGAAGATCTCC